TCTATGTAGTCTAACTGAGCTTCAATCCTATCACAAACATATTTGTGATTCTTTGTTCTTACAGTTACCTGTTTCTCTTAAAGAGATATCACAAAAAAAGTTGTTATCCTATCTGCAGAAACAGTTAAGTTATGCACAATAATTATATTGCCTTGCTACCCTAAGTACAGTTTCTCATAGACCAATTGCAGGAAAGGAAGGGTTTCTTTGTATCTGATAATAATGATGATATTCCATTTCCTAATATGCAAAGTCTCCCTATTGTTCATAGTATTCCTAATTCTCCTGACTCTGACTTGGGTTTCTCTGTTTCATGGGACTGGCTTGTTGATCCTCCTGTCTGCAAAACCGAAGTTCCTCATGAGTTAAAAGCTGGATGCCTTCCTGCCCAGGTTGAAGGAGACGCTATTGAGGAGTTGTATAGTACTGGTGATTATCTCATGGACTGTGTCTTTGATGAACTTGGTGCTCAATGTATAGCAGCTTTAGGGGACGAGCTGTCTGAATTCGAAGAAAGTACTAATACTCAGTTTCCTAATATTATATCTTTACTAGAGACATACTATGCCCTTGCACCGCCTCTTTTTTGCAAAATCTACTCTCCTATACCCAGGGTGAACCGACTTCCAGGAGGAGCACTCGCGATACTATTCAGGAGGGTACAAGTCAGGTCAGAGAGTGTCTCCAGCCATGCCTGCCCAGCAGCGAAGCAGAACGGACTCACCAGAGACTTCTACATCGCTGTCTTCTATTGTAGAAGAATCTCTTCTGCCACCTGCTTCCAAGGAACATCATGCTCCAGAACAGCCGTCTCTTGATGGCGAAATTCAACTACCTATACCCGAGGTTGAGAATCCAGCACCCAATGTGCTTGCTCTCGCCTTTGAACTTGAAGCTGTGAATACCACTCTTCAAACTACAAGCTCTGGTAGAACAATACCTATGTTGCAAGAGGAAACACAAAATACCTCGTTTGTACTAAAACAAAGCATTGACAACTCTCCCAACCAGCTGCTTAACCAAGCTTCTAATGAAGTAAGTGAAACCGAACAAAAGGTAGCTTACGAATGTCTGGTATCTGTCCCCTCACTGAAGGAAACTCCTTCTGTGACTCGTCAGTTGCCATTATGTCTGTCAATTCATCTTTACCACAGGAAGACGTCTTGTGCCTCACTAAGACTGAGGTACAGAAAGACCAAGAAAGAGAACCCGAAGTATGTTCTTCTGAAACTCCACAAATGAGACATTCTACAGTCAACGATGCTCATAAACTAAAGACTACAGAGGAGGTAAAAGACACTGATGATACCTCCCATTCTCGAGTCTTAAGGTCTGAATATTTAGATGGATCAGACACTCGGAACCTTAATGTCGAACATTCTTCTACTGAGCAGTCTCCAAATGACGTGGCTAATACTGAATTAGAATCCACAAAATTATCTGATCAGAGGACTGAGCTGTTAACGGAAGTCTCCTATGGAATAAAACATTAAGTGTCAGAACTTGCTGATAGAGTAACTAACCCCGTAACTTCATTCATTAAGGAAGTACAAAGTCCGGTTGGTAATGAATGTTCCTCAATTGAGGAACCACCTAGACTTCAGCAAGTATTTAAGGAAGAAGTGCCTTCAGTTACGAGTTTTTCAATGTTATTTAAAGAACTACCTCAAGCTGAGTACACAAAGGATGAATAAAATAATTTAGGTGACCATGTATCTCTATCCGTTAAAGAGGACCTACCTCTGCTTGAGAACGAATCGTCCCTGCTTCTGGAAAATACATATTTTGGGAAATTAAGTGAGCCTCCCCTTAATGCATTCATGCATCATGGAGAGAAATGCTGACAAGGAACTCCTGACCGGGCTTTTCGGAGACCCATCTATAAGGGTTCTCCTTAAACAAGGGGATCTGCCTCTCTTGATTCCAGCGATACCAACTCAAAATAACTCAGAGGCTTTTTTTCCCTCTAAAGAAGTTGCATCGCCGTCTTTATTATTAGGATCACTCAGGCCAGGAGTCGCTCCTTAGGGGGGTGTGGGGGGGGGGGGTACTGTCACGGTTCACTCCTTAGTTGATATGTCTTCGTGCTATATCCATACTCACCACTCTCACTGTTTGGCACTGTTCCTCATTTCTTTTCACTTTAGCACTTCAGCTGGTCCTTGTTAAGCACCTTTATAGTTTAGTTTCACCCTTCCCTCCTTGTTAGATCATTGTTTCCTGGTTCCTGTGATTCTGACTCTGCTCTCTTCCATCCTGTATCCTGCATCCCTGGGTCTTGTATCCAGTGTTCCTTGGTCCTGTGTTCCCGTGTCCACTGGTCCTGTGTTCCTTTCCTCTGATCTCCTCCAGTGACTCTGACCCAGCATCCTTTGTTAGTATATCCTGCTTCTGGCCTTGTTTTCCTGGTGTCATTGTATCTGTCTTGTGGCTCTGGACCTGTGTCCTGCCAATTGCTCGTGGTAGCTGCACAATCCTGCCCAAGCATATTCCTTATACCAAAGGACTGTTCTGTATACTCTGCCAGCACTATTTGTGCTAATCCTAGTTTGTTGTATATATTTGTTTTTTGGCATTGCATATTGTTTTTTGTTATCCTTTGTCTTTTGGTTTTATAATATATATCTATATTTACTCAATTCATTGTGTCTTGGCATTTACTCTCTGCAAATTGGGTTCCCACACTTAAAGGGATATTGCTGTTTCAGGGCAGCAACCCTTCCTGTCCTGACACTATGTCAGTATAGGATTTTCCTTGCAATCTTAATGTGTGACATGCAAAGCGTGAATCTCTTGTTGGTCTTAAAAATGTTGGACCATTGGTCTTCCGTTAGTTGCTTTTTTTAGGTCTTTTTTCCCACGCCTGCATGAAGGGGAACTTACGGACATCTGTTTGTGGAAATTCGCTTTTGTGTATATATATATATATATATATATATATATATATATATATATAATTTTTTGGGGTTACTTATGTTGCATGCATAAGGACTCCAGCCCCAACAGCTTCTGCTCACTTACATATTTTAGACCTGTACCCTTATTCCCCAGCTATAAACTAATTTGTATATAGGCAAATGCAGCGGTGGCTGGAAGTTGATATGCTTCTTTCAGGGTCTCAAAGGGAATAAGTGTGTAATTAGCAATGATCTGGTAGAGGTGCGTTAGGCCACATCTCGACCAGGTATTGACATTTAGATCAGATATCAGTATGGCAAACGTTCGTAAGAGCGTTGCGGGCGAAAGAGTCGTGTGTAAATTGTGAACTGTTCTAAATTTATCCCACATTTTAAGTGTAAGGTGCGTTATAGGTAAGATGTCTCAATATGGTTTCCTGTGTTGCGGTAACAAACAGGCCAGAGATGTGAGATAGTGTCCTTCTGCTTCTATTTGCATCCATGGTGAAGGCGATTTCACTTTGTGAAAGGTTGAGATCAGAGGGCTAAGGATGGAGGCACTGTAGTCTTTAGCTAAGTTCGGGAGTTCCATGCCTCCTTGTTTGAATGGTTGGTATAAGGTTTGGGCTGCGATCCTAGGTCACTTGCCATTCCATATAAAGTTATTAAGCACCTTTTGTGCTTCAGGGAGATAGTTTGTGGGTAATTTTATTGGTAGTGTGCGGAAGAGCTATTGGAACTTAGGTATTATTAAAATTTTTACTGCCGCTATTCTACCGATCCAAGAGATATATTTTCTTTTCCAGCTCAAGAGTTGGTGTTTGATATCGTTTAATACGTTGGCATAGTTTGCCTGATGCAAGCCGTGTTCATTTGTTGTGAGTTTCACCCCTAGGAACGTAAGGCTGTCCTTTCTCCATTCATATGCGTGTGTTTTGTTGCAGGGGTTTAAAACATAGAAACATAGAATGTGACGGCAGATAAGAACCATTCGGCCCATCTAGTCTGCCCAATTTTCTAAATACTTTCATTTGTCCCTGGCCTTATCTTATAGTTAGGATAGCCTTATGCCTATCCCACGCATGCTTAAACTCCTTTACTGTGTTAACCTCTACCACTTCAGCTGGAAGGCTATTCCATGCATCCACTACCCTCTCAGTAAAGTAATACTTCCTGATATTATTTTTAAACCTTTGCCCCTCTAATTTAAGACTATGTCCTCTTGTTGTGGTAGCTTTTCTTCTTTTAAATATAGTCTCCTCCTTTACTGTGTTGATTCCCTTTATGTATTTAAATGTTTCTATCATATCCCCCCTGTCTCGTCTTTCCTCCAAGCTATACATGTTAAGATCCTTTAACCTTTCCTGGTAAGTTTTATCCCTCAATCCATGAACCAGTTTAGTAGCCCTTCTCTGAACTCTCTCTCTAAAGTATCAATATCCTTCTGAAGATACGGTCTCCAGTACTGCGTACAATACTCCAAGTGAAGTCTCACCAGTGTTCTGTACAATGGCATGAGTACTTCCCTCTTTCTACTGCTAATACCTCTCCCTATACAACCAAGCATTCTGCTAGCATTTCCTGCTGCTCTATTACATTGTCTGCCTACCTTTAAGTCATCAGAAATAATCACCCCTAAATCCCTTTCCTCAGTTGTTGAGGTTAGGACTCTATCAAATATTCTGTACTCTGCCCTTGGGTTTTTATGTCCAAGATGCATTATCTTGCCCTTATCCACATTAAATGTCAGTTGCCACAACTCTGACCATTTTTCTAGTTTACCTAAATCATTTGCCATTTGGCTTATATGTCCAGGTACATCAACCCTGTTGCATATCTTAGTATCATCAGCAAAAAGACATACCTTACCATCAAATCCTTCTGCAATATCACTAATAAAAATATTTTAGAGAATGGGTCCAAGTACAGATCCCTGAGGTACCCCACTGGTGACAAGCCCAAGCTTCGAATATACTCCATTGACTACAACCCTCTGTTGCCTGTCACTCAGCCACTGCCTTACCAATTCAACAATATTGGAATCCAAACTTAAAGATTGCAGTTTATTGATAAGCACCCGAACTACCGCTGCCACTCCTGGAAATGGACCGGGCTCACAGAGCACTACGACCCCCTAATCTGAATCTCTCTACCCCAAGAGACGTAATAATCTGCCTCCACTACTTCCAAACTAAAGAAAAATTAATGCAACTAGCCAGAGACCTCCCTCCCAAGTATAAAGACGTCCGCCTAACCTTCTTCCAGGACTTGGCCCCAACTACACTAAAGAAGAGAAGAGATTTAAAACCCCTCACCTTGGCCCTCCAAGAACAGGGGCTAAAATACACTTGGGGCCACCCCTTCAAACTGCTGGTCAAAAAAGGCGACCAAACCCATATCCTCACCACAGCCGCAGAAATGGATCCAATGGCGGACTCTCTGGGAATTCAGCTCCTGAACCCCACACCTCTAACGGGATACAGGGGAAGAGACCGCTCCAGAGACAGAGCTACATCCCCACATCCGGCCAAACAGAAAAGACACCATAGAAGACAACACTGCTACTAGACGTCAAGGGGGACAATCCCTGCCACACCGTTCAGGCCGCTAGAAGAACATAACAGACGACAAATAAGAGGAACTTTACCACAAAGAATCTGCCCTATGGATCTAGAACCAAAAAGGAATGAGAACCCCAAGCCCATGGCAACCTCCCCCGGGACACTGCTCAAGATTAAGCCAATACTACCCCCCAGGGGACCCCTCCGGAACTCTCAAACATCCCCCAGAAAAGAGCTGACCCACACCGCCTCACCGGACTTGTACACCTTTGAAACCACTATGGCTACAGCTTAACTCTCATAACAACACCAGAAGAGAAAACACACATCAACGAGCCCCGACCCCTGTCCACCCAACTGATCCAGTGAAAGACATCCCCACTCCAAAACCGCCTTGGATCTGAAGAGAGAAACAAATAAGAACAATAAGAACTATAGAGACATTACTCTTGCAATCTTTTAAACTGAACACCTTGATTACCACAAGGGTAATGGGGAAAATGCAGAGAGAGAGAGACAAGACCGACCACACAGGGACTAGAATTATCAAGGGAAGGGGAAGGAGGGAGAATCACACTCCAGACCAGACGGACCACTAGACGCAATAACACACATTACACTCACTCGGACTAAGGACAACACACACAAATGACACTGACCATACATCCCACTATCATACAGAGGATATAGGACAACAAAAGCAGGATAGGGGGAAAAAAAGAAGAGACGACGACGAAATTGTTAGAATAACATAGACAGAAACACAGAAGGTAGGGGAAGGGGGGGAAGAACTAAGTGAAAACCCACATAGGGCACATCCAGGCACTTAACCAAGATAATTAACTTCCTTGAAAGTCAACAAACAGGTTAAACTGAGGCAAAAACCACAGTTAATACATAATGTTAATGTTTTCCTTGTATATATGTTAAAATGTTTTTTTTTCTCTTCCAAGCGAACCTCACAAGTGACGACACAAACTTACATACGACACAAAAGAAAGAAAGACGGAAAACGGAACATCTTACCCCGTACCAACAAACCACCATAAGAATAGGCACAACGAACCGACTAAGAATCCACCGACCAACCGTGAGTGATACACTGGCAATTGTGCAGGGGGAGAGAGGGTGACGGGAACGTGAAAAACCTTCCTCCTTTCTCCCTCACCACAACCCACAGTACCCCCCACAAGGGGACCACACCACACTTACCCCAACCCCAAAGGCACCACATACAACCCCCCAACACCACCTGGCGATCCTATAGTAAGACCAGGGTACACCGACACCCTTTTCTCCACCCCTTTTTAGACACTAAAACCCCATAATCCTCACCTCTACCCCACCCTCCACAAACCCCCCTCCTCGAACCACTCACCCTAAATGGCGAGAAACCCCGGGTCCTCCACACTCTAAACAACTAAACAGACCCACACCCAAAACTAATATGAAAACAATGAAATGCATCTCACTTAACTGCAAAGGCCTTAACAACCCGGCTAAACGCCACCAGCTGATGCGATGGGCCAATAGAACAGGAGTGGACATAATACTCCTCCAAGAAACACACTTTGAGACCTCGAGATCATTCCCACTTAAAAACAGACTGCAACGGATCACCTGGCACCCCGACTGGGTACCTCAGTTGAAGGATGCTCCTAGCGCTTCCTGAGGACTCCAAGCACTGCAGCAGACACCACAACCACCAAACCAGAGAAGCATAGGAATGCTGTCAAGCATATGAATGTTGTATACAGCGGAATAGGAAAAAAAACATGCGAATAGGTTTACACTCCTAGCAGTCAAACTGGAACAGCATACAATAAATCCTCCCCCAATAATGAGACGACACTTCACTTTGAGGGTTAAGCAGGAACTGACTGGACTGGCACATACAGCCTCTTTTATTCCTAATCCACAAACTTAGTACTGCCCACAGGGTTTTACAGAACAACCAATAACACACGTACATTACAGAAAGACACTCCCACACAAAATCCTCCCCCCTGCCTGTGATACAATTACCTTACACAATGGGTAATCTAATTATCACAGACAGAGAAATACAGTTTCATAAAACACATCACAGGGACCCCAAAACATGCAATAACCCCATATACAGTTTAATGCAGATTCTGCAGAACATATACAGGCTAAATGAAAAACAATCACTGTATAACGTGTCCCCTGCTGTATAGTCCAAAACCACTGCACGATGTCTCTGTGCACCAAATACTGGCGAGATGGCACCGTGTTGAAAAGTCCAAACAGTGTCTGTGAGTTAAAATGGCCGCCATCCATTGTTCTCACCATGTGCTTCATCCATTGTTCTCACCATGTGCCTCTGATACAGGAAATGGTGGCCACCCAGTAACTCTACAGTATGTCCCCAGATGGTTCTTAAAGGGCCAGCAGCAGCACAACACAAATCCCTTATGCCCAAATCATGTCTTTAAAGGGCAATACATCCCAGGGGCCATAGTCACATGGCAGGAGGCTGGCAATCAGTCTTCTCCAATGCCCAGTGGCGAGGTCGGTTTCGCCACACAGACACTACAAAGAATGCCACTTAGCAAACTCCCCAACCGGAAAACATAACGGAGTAGCGATACTCGTCCGGAACACATGCCCCATCAGCTTCACAAACACCACAGCTGACCCTCAGGGCAGATTCCTCACCATAACAGGACAGCAAGGTACTCACAAATACGCGATCACTACAATATATGCCCCCAACAACCCAGACCCATCCGTCTGGACAACCATCCAAGTCCACCTCAAACTGTTCCCCTCCCACCACGTGATCACAGGGGGAGACTTCAACGCGGTCATCAACCCCCAAACAGACCGACAACGACAATCCACACGCACTGGCAAAACTACTCTCGAACTTTGTACTCCACTCAGGTCTCCAAGATATCTGGAGAATGCAAAACCCCACAACTCTTGACTTCACATTTTATTCCCACCCTCATCTCTCATACTCTAGGATTGATATGTTCCTGATATCCCCGTCCCTCCTAACCCAAGACATTACAACAACTATAGGCACGATCACGTGGTCCGACCACACAGAGATAACCCTGACACTCTCAATCCCACAAACAGCTAGAACATGGTCATGGCGACTAAACCCAACACTCCTACATATCGCCGAAATAAGGGCGTCCACTCAAACAACACTCACAGAGTACTTCCAATTAAACAAGGACTCAGTAGAATCCACAGGCATATTATGGGCAGCACACAAAGCGACCATCAGAGGCAAATTGATAGCTGAGGCCACAAAACACAAAAAACAAAAACTAAAGGAACTGAAGGACCACCTCCTCTCGCTGAGGGCCCTAGAGATTCAACACAAACAACACCCAACCCCACCAATTTTAATACAGATCAAAACTCACCAACAAGCCATTAAATCCTACATGACCAAAGATTCACAAAGAGCCCTCCAATGGAGCAAACAGCTCTTTTACGAGAAATCAAACAAGGCAGACACCCTCTTAGCACATAAACTACACCAAAAAACACACAACAAATGCATTACCAAAATTAACTCCCCGGGAGGAAGCACACACGAAAGCCCGGATCGTATAGCGAGGATTTTCTCCCAATACTTCACAACACTTTATAATCACAATCCTGATCCATCGCCAACCCTAACACACGACATTGAGACATACCTCCGGAACACTCCTCTCTCATCACTAACGAACACGGAGATAGAAAGATTATCTGCCCCTATCACAACAGAGGAAATAGCAAACACACTAAAAACTATTAAACCCAACAAAAGCCCAGGACCAGATGGATTCACAGGCCTCTACTATAAGACATACGCAAACACACTAATACCATACCTCACAGCTCTAGGGAACTCACTCCTTCAAGGAAACCCACTCTCAAAGGAAATGCTCAGAACAAACATCTGCCTCATTCCAAAACCGGACAAAACACACCTCGACCCAGGCCACTTTAGACCCATCTCTCTACTCAATGTAGACACTAAAATAATCACTAAAACCCTAGCCAACCGGATCCAACTACTCCTACCGAAATTAATACACCCTGACCAGGTGGGCTTCATCCCCACAAGACAGGCAGCAGACAACACGAGATGAGCACTTGACCTGATCTGGGTGGCACACAGAAGACAGACCCCTACCCTCCTCTTATCAATGGATGCCGAAAAAGCATTCGACCGATTACTCTGGCCATTCCTGTTCGCCACCCTCCAGAAATTCAAATTCCCAACCCCCATTCTAGATGCCCTGAGAGCCCTCTATGACCAACCCACGGCCACACTTCTTATCCCCAACACCAAACACCCAGAATTTGTAATAAAAAACGGGACGAGACAAGGCTGCCAACTCTCCCCACTCTTATTCGCCCTTTCGCTTGAACCTCTCCTTCAAAACATACGAAATGAACAGACAATACAGGGCATTAAGATAAGGTCAGAAGAATACAAAATAGCGGCATATGCTGACAACATCCTCCTCACACTCTCGGATCCCACCCATTCTTTACCACCCCTACTAACACTCCTGCAACAATACGCAACCCTCTCGGGATATAAACCCAACCTGGAGAAAACAGAGGCCCTTCCAATAGCAATATCACAACACACTCTGGAACAACTACAACTAGCCCACCCATTTAAATACAACCTAAGCAATACACGCTACCTAGGAACATTTCTCCCGGCAGACCTGAACACAATATATGCCCTGAACTACACACCTCTACTCCACCAAGCACAACTGGATCTGCAAAAATGGGGACCTTTATCCATATCTTGGATTGGGCGCATAGCCTCAATAAAAATGAATCTCCTCCCCCGATTCCTCTATCTCTTCCAAACACTACCAATACCTATTTCCAAACATGACTTCAAAACGCTCCAAACACACATAGACAGATTTATATGGTCAAACAGGAGACCGCGCATAAAAAGATCCACAATGTACAAAACCACAAAAACAGGAGGCCTGGGTCTCCCGAACT